TGGGCCTTATCAGCAGTCCTGTCAGACTGAGTGCTGTTTGTGTTTCTCTCAGCCCCCGACAGACACATGCAGGCTCAGACGCCCGAATCCACAGCCTGTTATTTCATTACAGACAGTGATGCCAAGATGGCGGCACACAGTAGTGCAGCGGCTTCTCAGGGTCCCGGTTACAGTGTAAAGTTTAGTGTAAATAACTCTTCCTCTAACTTGACTAAATTTGTGGCCTACATGACTAGTGCAACTTGGCTAAAAAGGTACAATCCAGCTGAACTTCTATTCATTAAAAGCCCCTCCCCCATCTCGCTACCACTGGAGCTCAGTGCGGAGCAAACTGGCGTAGCAGATTACAGCGGCTCAGAGGCGAGAGGAAGCGGTGTGTACAGAAGCAGAACTGGGGAACGGTGGCCAGTCTGTTAGCCAAGCTAAAAGCTAACGCCAACAGACCAGCAGTTTTGATCATTTTGGTCAACATTCATTCACTAGACAGTAAAATGGACATTGTTCGACTAAGGCTGAGTGTTCATCGGGAAAATGCCAGCTGCATTATTTGCTGAGGGAGTTTACAGTGGTCTTCATCGTTACTGTTTACATTCCCCCGAGTGCTAATGCTAACGTCGCGCTTAGGGCGCTTCACGATAATATCAGTGCATTTGAATACATGCATCATTCTACATGATCGCGAGTGACTTCAACCAATGCAACCTAACAGACATTTTACCACCAGTTCCACCAGTACATAACCTCTGCCACTCGAGGAACCAAACCACTTGATCACATGAATACATACAGACGGGGGACATACAAAGCCATCTCCTGCCCCCACCTCGGCCTTTCTGACCATATCTCAGTCATGCTAGTCCCTGCTTACCGCCCTCTGCAGAAATCCAGGAAACCAGCAAGAAAGACCATCACAGTATGGCCCAGTGACGCTGCCTCCACGCTCCAGGACTGTTTGAATGTACAGACTGGCAGCAGCAAACGCTGGGGATGTGGACTTGGAGGGGTATGCATCACCGGTCATGGGGTCCATCAGCAGCCGTGTGTGATGATGTCACCACCAGTAGAACAACCACCATCCACCCCAACCAGAAACCCTGGCTGAATATGGAGCTCCATGCTCTACTAAACGCATGTGACTCTGTGTTCAGGTCTAGTGATGCAGCCAGACTCAGAGCAGCAAGAAGGAACCTCACTGCAGGCATAATGACGGCTAAAACTAACTATACTCTCAAGATCCAGGGTCACTTTTCCACCAATGAACTTCGGAGCACGTGGAGGGGCATCACAGACTACACCAGATTACCCGTATCCCTGCCCCAGGGACCCATTTCTGCCTGATGCCGTTAACAGCTTTTATGGCTGTTTTGAGGAGTCCAGCACCTCTCCTGGCTCCAGGCTCTCCCCACCTCCAGAGGTGCTAATGGGCATCTTTAACATCCCACTC